GAAGAATTTTGCCCCGGACTTGCACAAAGTCAACGCCCGATAAATGTCTGATAGAATGATCGGGGCAAGAGTGTGATGTTCTTTGGTAGTGAGGACCTGTACAACCCTGGCTATGCGGGTATCAATTGTCCGCTCCTCGTTTGGGAAGACCAAAATTTCCAGAAATGCCACTATGAAGGCGAAGCGATGATGAATCTGCCATGTGTCTTTGTTTTGCTTGTTGTTAAGGCCCTTTTCATGCATTTCAAACCCATTTGGCTTCCCGAACCTAGAGTACAAGAAGTAGAAAGAACAACACCCTTCGACTACATTGGTCTTTCTAATTTGCTTACTGATGTTCAGAAGATCGAAGAATCGGTGTACAGAAAGAGCCCTTGGGAATATGAGCTCCTGGTTTCTCAAATCCCTGCCAAACCCGGAATATCCAGCTATCTCTTCTAAAGTGGGAGTTAGCTCAAAATCGGAGAAGCGAAAGACATTGTGAACGGGGTCCCAAAAAGTCACTAGTGCCTCAATCAAATCGTCCCATGGTTTAATTTTCATAATATCTGTAAGGGCTCCCAAGTACTTGGTGACCCATTTCTGACCATTTTCTCCTAAATCATACCACCACATCTGAAGCTGAAGTGGAGCCTCGTCTACAACTGTGAATGGTGTGTTCTGGACAGTGCTCATTTTGTACCTGTGGGTGGTTAAGGTTAGGGTTGACACTAGTCTCAAGAGACAGAACCAATGCACTCCTTTTGCAAAACAATCTTTTGTAAATAACTCAATTTTAAGAAAAATCAACGAGAAGGGGGGCTATTTTTGCAATTGTGACCGAAGAAAGGGTGGCTATTTTTGCAACTATGGCCCCTTCTTACTTTCAAGGATAGCTTTAGGGTCGGGGGAAGGGCATTATGGTAAAAGTGATTCCCAATTGACAGACACGTCCGTTCTTGCGAGAACAGCCCTTCAACAATTTTGAAGATGTTCTAAGGCTATTCTGACAGGAACGATTTGGGATTAACCGAAGATGGGTCTGCTTATTTGTTTTTTTGATTTAAAAAAAAATACTAGACACATTTCTTTTTTTTAGTTATTTTATAAAAATGGGGCCGAACCCTATGAAGGTTGCCTACGTATCTCACATCCGGTGAGAATCAGACCCGCGTAGTTCGTAAATATTTCAGGAATAGGATGACGCTCTTTTTTTTTGGTTGAAAAATTCAGGCTTTTTTTTTTTGGGGTAAATACTGAGATTTTCGAAAATCGGGCAAATTTTCTCCCTCATATTTTCTTCTTTCTGGTTTTCCCTCAATATTTTTATATTATTATTTTATTTTAGAAACCGGTCAACATGCACAAACCAAATCAAACATAATGCACAAGTAGCACATAAGATGCATCAGGATGGTCTTGTAATTTCGGGTACACCTGTCCTAGACAGATCCAACCCCTGTGTTGAGTCCCCAAAGTCAAATGCACATGATGCAAACAAACGTTCCTACTAGGGATCCGATATGAGGCTATGTTATTCTAGGTTTAAATTCTAAGGGGAGTATTTTAGACCTGGCTTACCCAAGCGGATAGCTCGAGTCGAGATGGGAGTAACGTACCGGGAGTACGAAAGTCTACCCGGCCTAGTTACTGACCCAGCCTCGTTCTAATTGGTATGACTTCTAACAGAAAAGTGGGCCACGCGCACGTGCGCACCATAAATTCAGAAGACTCAGAAGGGAGGCGTAAGAAGACAATTTAATATAGTTCAAATAATATCAAAGCAGTAAATAAGCGACAATTTGCACATTAGACCCAAAAATACATTAATAACATCAAATCAATAAAGCCAAGTATAAATCATCTTATAAGCTCGAATTCTGAACCCCGAACCAGAAGTTCTGGGTTCTTGTCCCCAGCAGAGTCGCCAGAGCTGTCACACCTCTACTTTTCTCGTGGGATAAGAAAGAAAGGAGTTTTTCCAATTTAAGGTATATATTCAAAATGGGATTATTTATTTAATCAGAGTCGCCACTTGGGATAATTTCTGGTGTCCCAAGTCACCGGTTTGTTTGAAATCCCAAATTGAGAAAGTTTTGACTCCGAATTACGGTCCGCGAACACAGAAGACCGGGTAAGGAATTCTGTTAACCCGAGAGAAGGTGTGAGGCACTCTCGAATTCTGTGGTTTTAGCACGGTCGCTTTAATCATACCTGGCTTAATTAAATTATTTAATTACTCATTTTAGAACCTATGTACATTTACCTTTTTACCGCTTTTAATTGCTTTATTATTCGTAATTATGAAATTATCTTGAAACGAATCACGCGTACGTGTATTTATTTTGTTTGGTATGTTACGAATCATGTCACGCGTACGTGTACACAATTAATAATACTTTATTATTTTTAAGATTGTTTTGTCAAAGTTGCGCGAACGCATACTTTGCCTTTAATTTGGGAATCGTAACTATGTCACGTGAACGTGTACATAATCACGATAATTGATTGGTTAACACGCGCCTAAAGCATACTAGCATATTTAGAGTATTTCATTTATCTATCTTTTTTATCTCTATCAGCTCCAAATCAGAATCCAAACATGCTAAAATAAAAGAATATTAAAAATAATAAATCAAATCACAAATTAAACCAAATATAGATATTCACTATTAATCACACTAAAGAAAGATCGTAAAACTAATCAATGGAAATGTCACCCACTTCTCTCGTGAGTCTTACAAACAAAACAAAAAATTCCAAACAACACATAAAGTAAGATTCAAATAAAATCTAAATCCAAAACATGATACAAGGATCTTACATAAATTTTTGAAGGGAAGTAAAATTATCTTTTTAAAAGGTGATACTGCCGTAAATTAATGGTCAATAAAAAACTCATGGTCAACTTAATTTAAAGCCTCAGAAACTACTTATTAATGAATAACACAACATCATACATAATTCTATTGATTAAATACTCTTACTTATTTAGCAATAACGTCATTTTAACACCAAAACAAAAGCTAGGAAAGAATATCTTAGCCTCGTAATAGTGAATAGGACATGATGAAAAATTAGATATAAACAAATTTTAACTTTTAATTTTGAGGCAAGGTAAAAAAAAAGAATAAAATATATATAGTCATCCAAACTACAGTAACTAAGTAAAGTAGTAAACCAAAGTATATTCTTTTCAATTACACCTTAAAGATATAAACTTTAATCCCTACGTGACTTTAACACTTAAGAACAAACTCTAACTACTTAAAAAACTAATTTTAAACAGACAAACAGAAACAAAACAAAAGAGAAAATAATGAAATATTTAGATAAAATTAAACCAAAATAGAAGCTTTAAAGAAAAAAAATAGATTAAAAAGAAAGAATCTTTTATTGATGGATTTCTAACCTTTTGTTGTGTACAGAGAAGACAAGAACTTCAATTTAGGAAATAGAAATCAACGATGACTTTCTTCCTTTTCTCTCAATTTTCGTTTTCCTCTCCTGTTCAAAATTTTCTCTTTTTCAAAAATTGGACCCCCCTTTGTTCAAAATGTGTCCTCCTCTTTTATAAAGAAACTTTTGGTGGTTACCTGATAATGTGCAAAGGAGTTGATTTACATGGGATTGAGGTGAGGAAATATATGAGGGTGTGTGCTAGACGTGAGAGAGTGGGAGTTAGGGGGTGAGTGTTTAAGTAGTTAGTAGGAGAAACTTTTGTATTTTTTTTTATTTTGTTACTTTTTTATTCTTCTCGTTAGTTGCCTTTTTTAAAAAAATAACTTTTACTCTCTTTTTTTTTCTTTTGAAATGAATAAAAAGAAAAAGTAAAATGCATAGCTAAAAGTATTAGTCAGCTAGTTTTATATTTAAATATTATATACATAAGAAAACTAAATATTTACACTAAAGTTTAAATTATACTAAGAAAAATACTATAACTTACATTTAAAATTAGAAGAATTTTCTTCTATATAAAAATAAGAACAAAACTTATACTCTAAGAATGTGAATATTTTTTGTAGTTTTTAATTTTCTTAAATAAAACCTATTAAAAGTAAGATAAAAGTTTAAAATATAAAAATTAGACCTAAAATAAATATTTACACTAAAATAGTATAGAATTTGGGTGTAGTCAAAAATTAGTTGTTCACACTCGGATTTTAGGTAAATGCTGATTCTGGTTTCTTTTACATATTCTTCGCTTCCAAGATTGACCACTTCTGTTTCTTTGAGATTGGGCTTCTTCTGACTCTCCAGCTGCTCGATCTCTTGCGGGAGATTATCTGGTATCATACTCTCATCATATTCCTCTTAATCCGAGTCATTGCACTCAGCGGTTTCGTTACATGTCATAATCGTGGAACGTGGTTTTTTAACGGTTTGATTACTGAAAAGAAAAACTAAGTATAAATAAAGTGGTAAAACAAAGTTGCGATATTTAGGAAAATGATACTTTTATTTCATCAAAAGGGGAACGTCTTAAGCGTTCACAAGAGGAAAATGACAAAAGGTTACAGACACGGTACATGACTCAATTGACCGTGCTCTTTTCAAAACAAAACTTTCACAGTTCCATACTACCAAGACTCCCGGCAAACCAAAGATGTAGGTTGTCTAATTCTGCAGCTCTTCCCCTGGTTCGGCATCCCCGATAGTCGGTGTCTTGATGTCAGTTCCTTCACATCATTCTTCAATCATATTCACAAACAACTTTCCCATCCCGTCGATGATATCATCTTCGGGTGTTGAACTCTGTCCCGTGCTTCCATCATGCTCTGACACAAAAGCCTTTTTCCCAGAGCTAACGATGCGAGCTTTCCCTTTCGGAGGCTGATATCCTATGCCAGCCCTTCCTTTCTATCCATTGTGTTTAATTGGCTCTGTGATTCCATCTGACATGGCTCCCAACCCTATTCATGGCCTGTATTCGTATTTCATCATCTCCCTCATGGCCATCGTGGATCTATACAGTGATTGCATTTCCAAATTTTGTTTAGTTTTCTCCATCTCAGTAGTCTGCATGATTTCCACAACGTTGAAGACAACTCTATCCAGCCCTTCAATGAATGGAACATCATACTCCAGATAGGCGGAGTGACCCCACTCGCCATGAACCACGATCTCTTGGCATCCCCACTCGAAATTTATGCATTGGTGTAAAGTAGACGACACGACTTTTGCCATCTGTATCCAGGGCCTGCCCAGTAGCAAATTGTAAGAAGAGGATATGTCCATTACTTGGAACAACACCGGAAAATTGACTGGCCCGATTTGCAAAGCTAGATATATTTCTCCAATAACATCCTTTTTTGAACTATCAAAGGCTCTCACCCTTATGTGGCTTTCCTTGACCTCCCTTAAATGAATTCCCAACTCCCGTAGGGCCGAGAGCAGAAAATTTTTGACTCCTGATCCTCCATCGACCAATACCCGGGACACTACTTTGTCCCCGTATTTGACAATGATGTGAAGAGCCTTGTTGTGACTTGCGTCTTCGACAGGAAGTACATCTCTTCTGAAAGTGATCATGTTTGCCTCGACCATTTTCCCAATTGTTGCGGCCAACGCCTCGCTAGTGGTGTTACTTGGTACATTTACCCCACTTAGTATTTCAAAAGTGTCCTTATGACTGTCAAAGCTCATTAATAGATCCATAATAGATATCTGTGCAGGAGTTTTCTTCAACTGCTCTTCCATAAAATACTATTTGATTGACATTATTTTTCAAAACTCAGTGGCTTCTGGGTCTGTTATGTTCCTCTTTGGAATATATTCTCTCCCCAGGTTTCCTCGATTGACATCTTCAGGGGCGTAGTATCTCCCAGGCCTAGTCACACAATGGGCTACGACAGAGTCTGTCATTTTGGCCTTCCCCTTTT